TTTTGGTTGCAGCCATCATCATTGTTCGGCTGCCTGGGCTGGATTCGAACCCTCCAGCTCAGGTGTATGTGGCTGGTACCTTAGCCACTTGAGCCACAGACGCTGAACCGGAAGATTCTCTAATTTGTCCCAACAGTATATTTTTTTGTGGGTTTTGGCACTAGGAGTAGGCCAAAATGAGCATCTGGAAAACTAACTAAAGGGACTACTCACAGTACATTGGATTTAGAACTTCTTAGGGTTGACCCCGTAATCGTGGCATTTGCTCATAGAAATGAAAAATGGAGAACAAATGGAAATGAAGGAAGTTCACTTTATATGAGGAACTACCTTTAGGAAATTTTCTTTTTTTCTTTTTTCCTCTCTCTTGAGACAGAGTCTCACTCTGTTGCCCAGGCTAGAGTGCCATGGGATCAGTCTAGCTCACAGCAACCTCAAACTCGGGGGTTCAAGTAATCCTCCTGCCTCATCCTCCCGAGTACCTGGGAATATAGGCACCCACTACAACCCTCCAGCTGATTTTTCTATTTTTAGTAGAGATAAGGTCTCAGTCTTCTCTATCAGGCTGGCCTTAAAACTCCTGAGCTCAAATGATCCTTCTGTCTTGGCCTCCCACAGTGCTAGTATTACAGATGTGAGCCACCACGTGGAATTTTATTTTATTTTATTTTATTTTTATTTTTTTAGAGACAGAGTCTCACTTTATCGCCCTCAGTAGAGTACTGTGACAGTCACAGCTCACAGCAACCTCCAACTCCTGGGCTTAGGAGATTCTCTTGCCTCAGCCTCCCAAATAGCTAGGACTATGGGCGCCCACCACAATGCCTGGCTATTTTTTTGTTGCAGTTTGGCCCAGGCTGGGTTTAAACCTGCTACCCTCAGTATATAGGGCCGGCACCCTACCCATTGAGCCATAGGTACTGCCCATTTGGGAATTTTAAATCCAGGTATTAAAAAAAAAAACTGTCGAGGTTCCAAAGAATGGTGTGTTTTTTTGTTTTGTTTTGTTTTGTTTTTTTGAGACAGAGTCTCACTATGTTGCCCTTGGTAGAGTGCCATGGCATCACTGCTTACTGTAACCTCAAACTCTTGTACTTAAGCAATTCTTGCCTCAGTCTCCCAAGTAGCTGGGATTACAGGTGCCCGCCACAATGCCTAGCTGTTTTTTTGTTGGAGTTGTCATTGTTGCTTAGCTGGCCCATGCTGGGTTCAAACCCACCAGCCTGGGTGTATGACTAGCACTGTAACCACTGTGCTACAGGTGCCAAGCCAAAGTTCCAAAGAATGTTAATAGAAAGTTTTCTTTTAAATTTGTCATCTAGGCCGAGTGGTGGCTCATGCCTGTAATCCAAGTACTCTGGGAGGCCAAGGTTGGTTTCTGGAGTTTAAACCAGCCTGAGCAAGAGTGAGACCCTATCTCTACTAAAGTTGGAAAAATTAGCTGGGCATTGTGGTGGACACCTGTTGTCCCAGCTACTGGGGAGAGTGCAGAAGGATGTTTTGAGCCCAGGAGTTTGAGGTTGATGATGCCATGGCTTTCTAGCCTGGGTTCACACAATCCTCCTGTCTCAGCCTCTCTAGTAGCTGGGACTACAGGTGCCTGCCGCCATGCATAGCTAATTTTTCTATTCTTAGTAGAGACAGGGTCTCACTCTTGCTCAGGCTGGTCTCGAAATCCTGAGCCCAAGTGATCTCTCCTCAGCCTCCTTGAGTGTTAGGATTACAGACTTGAGCCACCACATCCTGCTCCAAATAGGCCTTAAAAAGAAAAAGAAAACTTTCAAAGGATCCAATTTCAAATAGAAAATAAATGAATCTTGAGTTGAAGTGCTAATTGCAAGTCCTTTTAAAGGAAGGTATTTTGCTGACAGTATTTTGTTTTTTCTTTTTTCATGCTCTGTCGTTCCAGGTTAAGAAAGTGGCGACTTCTATAAGACATGGATAGATGCAAACATGTAGGGCGGTTACGGCTCGCCCAGGACCACTCCATCCTGAACCCTCAGAAGTGGTGCTGCATGGAGTGCGCCACCACCGAGTCTGTGTGGGCTTGTCTCAAGTGCTCCCACGTGGCTTGTGGCCGCTACATTGAGGACCACGCACTGAAACACTTTGAAGAGTCTGGACACCCTCTAGCCATGGAAGTCCGGGATCTCTATGTGTTCTGTTACTTGTGCAAGGACTACGTGCTGAATGATAACCCGGAGGGGGACCTGAAGCTGCTGAGAAGCTCCCTCCTGGCGGTCCGTGGCAAGAAGGAGGACCAGCTGATGAGACGCGGGCGGACGCTGAGGTCCATGGCTTCGGGCGAGGACGTGGTCCCACAGCAGCGTGCTCCTCAGGGACAGCCGCAGATGCTCACGGCGCTGTGGTACCGGCGCCAGCGCCTGCTGGCCAAGATGCTGCGGCTGTGGTTCGAGAAGAGTTCCCGGGGCCGGGCCAAGCTGCAGCAGCAGCAGCAGGAGGAGGCGCTGGAGCGCAAGAAGGAGGCGGCGCGGGAGCGGCGGCGCGAGGTGAAGCGGCGGCTGCTGGAGGAGCTGGCCAGCGCCCCTCCGCGCAAGAGCGCGCGGCTGCTCCCGCACTTGCCCCGGGACGCGGGACCGGCCGCCGAGCGCCCTACCACCCTGCCTACCTCACGCAGAACGCCCCCGGCCGCGCTCAAGCCCCGCCGCCAGCCGGCCGTGGCCCCGGGCGTCACTGGCCTACGCAACCTGGGCAACACCTGCTACATGAACTCCATCCTCCAGGTGCTCAGCCACCTCCAAAAGTTCCGAGAATGTTTCCTGAACCTTGACCCTTCCCAAACGGAACATTTGTTTCCCAAAGCCGCCAATGGGAAGCCTCAACTTTCTGGCAGGCTGGCCAGTTCCTCGGCCACGGAGCTGTCCTCGAGGAGCGACAGGGCCGAGGCATGCGAGCGGGAGGGCCTCTGCAGGAACAGCGGGGCCTCTGTTACGCGGAGTCTAGAGCTCATCCAGAATAAGGAGCCGAGCTCCAAGCACATTTCCCTCTGCCGAGAACTCCACACCCTCTTTCGAGTCATGTGGTCCGGGAAGTGGGCCCTGGTGTCGCCCTTCGCCATGCTTCACTCTGTCTGGAGCCTGATCCCTGCCTTCCGTGGCTACGACCAACAGGATGCGCAGGAATTTCTCTGCGAGCTACTGCACAAAGTGCAGCAGGAACTTGAATCAGAGGGCACCACGCGTCGCATCCTCATCCCCTTCTCCCAGAGAAAGCTCACCAAACAGGTCTTAAAGGTGGTAAATACCATTTTTCATGGGCAGCTGCTTAGTCAGGTAGGTGTGTGCCCCCTCCTACCCGAACTCTGCCCAGCACAACTGTGAGAGATTCTATGTTAGAGTTTCCTATGAATGCCTCCCTCAGATTATTGGGTGAATAATTAGGACAGCTAACAATTGCTGCGATTATGCATTTTTTAAGGGTGGTCATTGTACCTTTAATTGTTCTGTACGTTGTGATGGTCTTGTTGGTGAAACTTGCCTGTTCTCTTTTTGGCTACATTTTTTAGTTAAACTTGCCACATCGCTTTAGTTTCAGTAAATATATTTAACTATTAATGAAGATATGGGTAACATTAAGAACCCATTGTTGGCATGCCATCCTTTCTTTGATCAGTTTTAGGAAACTGAACAGAGTTCCATAGTAACTGTGGTTATTCTGATTCCATAGTAGTTTGAAAGCTTTCTTCCTTCTTTATGTACAAGGGAGGTAGGTGGCTAGTGGCATGTTGAAGGCCTATATACTTCTCCTTCCTGTTCCCGCTTATCTTTCATTTTCTGAATTTTTTGCCATTTACAGACCTATGCAAAGATTCATAGATAAGGCTTTATGAAAATATCCAGAAAGAAATTTTTTTTTTGAGATAGAGTCTTATATGTCGCCCTCAGTAGAGTGCCGTGGCGTCATAGCTCATACTAATCTCTAACTCTTGGCCTTAAGCAGTTCTCTTGCCTCAGCATCCCAAGTAGCTGGGACTACAGGTGCCCACCATAAAGCCTGGCTATTTTTTTGTTGCAGTTGTCATTGTTTAGCAGGCCTGGGCCAGGTTCAAACCTGCCTGCCTTGGTGTTTGTGGCTGGCTCCCTCATCACTGAGCTACAGACACCAAGCCCAGAAAGAAAATTTTTATGGTAAAAATTAAAGAGATTCAAGTAAAATCTCTGTACTGTGTTACTGAGGTTTTGTGTCTTGGTTTATAGGGTTTTGAAAGAATGGTGAGAGGGATGGAAAGAGAGCTTGTTTAGGTTTTTGTTTTTAGCATATGAAAGGAGAGTATTTATCAGCATTTTTTCTATCTCCTCTTCCCTTACAAAGAAAGGTGCATCTGGTTAAGTTGTGGGGGAGAAGAGATGTAATCACAGTACTTTGAGGCTCTGGAGATGGAGGGGATTGGTGTAGGGGTCCTTCAAGAAAGAAGAGCAAAACCAGAGGCAACTTGAACTGCATGGAAGGATTGAAGTCAAGAGGAAGAATGCCAGGGTGAGAGAAGTGAACAGGGACTTGCAGATTCACCATCTCAGACTGTTTCCTTGAATGATTGCACAATAACTTACAGCATTTAATAGTAGAGTGTGTATTTTGGGAGAGAAGAGAAAAGGGAGGAGGTATATAATCTCTGTGCAGTGTGGTGTTTGAATTCCAGCTACCATCACATAGTTAAGAATGTATATCAGAAATAATATGCTCTAATTCTTTTAAAGTATGTGTTACTTTAATATAACTTTTTAAAAAATAATACACTTATTTTTTGTAAATTTATGTGTTTTGTATAGAACAAACAAAAATATATATGGAAAGCATGAAAGTTATATAATCTGTAAATCACTCTTTTCATTCTAGGTCACATGTGTATCATGCAATTACAAATCCAATACCATTGAGCCCTTTTGGGATCTGTCCCTGGAATTCCCGGAACGCTATCACTGCATAGAAAAGGGGTTTGTCCCTTTGAATCAGACCGAGTGCCTGCTCACTGAGATGCTGGCCAAGTTCACAGAGACAGAGGCTCTAGAAGGGAGAATCTACGCTTGTGACCAGTGTAACAGTGAGTGCTATATGGAAGTGGGACAGATGAGAGGGATGCAACTGGAATATTAGTTTTAGGTGCCTCTTTTTCCTTCTTTGTCAGAAGTAATAACTGATGATATTGAATGGTTCTAAAGCATCTTTTTTTTTGGAAGACAGAGTCTTACTTTGTTGCCCTTGGTGGAGTGCTGTGGCATCACAGCTCACAGCCACCTCAAACTCTTGACTTAAGCAGTTCTCTTGCCTCAGCCTCCCAAGTAGCTGGGACTACAGGCACCTGCCACAACATCTGGCTGTTTTTTGGTTGCAGTTGTCATTGTTGTCTAGCTGGCCCGGGCTGGGTTCAAACCCACCAGCCTGGGTGTATGTAGCCAGCGCCATAACCACTGTGCTACAGGTGCCAAGCCATAAAGCATCTTTTAAAGGTTTTTTTCCCTCTCATTTTTCTGAAAATAAGCTCATGGACTTGATGGTAAAAAACAAAGAGCCAGGCAAGGTGGTTCACATCTGTAATTCTAGCACTCTGGGAGGCCAAGACAAGTGGATTGCTTGAGGTCAGGAGCTTGAGACCACCCTGAGTAAAAGCAAGACCCCATCTCTACTAAAAATAGAAAAAACTAGCCAGGCATTGTGGTGGGTTCCTGTAGTCCCAGCTACTCTGGAGGCTGAGGCAAGAGGATTGTTCAAGTCCAAGAGTTTGAGGTTGCTGTGAGCTATGACACCATGGTACTCTAGCCTGGGGCAATAGTGAAACTCTCTTTCAAACCAAACAAACAAACAAAAAATGAAGGCCCAGGAATTGTGCCTCCTTTGACTCCTCCTGATTGCCATTAGTTATTTTGGGAGGCATATGAAAGTATAATTTCTGAAATGAGGACCCTGAGAATGTTAGTAATTAGCTTCATAGTATTATAGGACTTCTACTTAAATTCATGAATATAGAGTCTGACAGGTCTTATTCAATCTAAATCCAGATGGCATCGCTTATTTAAAGGGTATGATAACAGAAAGCATGATTTTGGGGTGGCACTTGTAGCCTAGTGGGTAGGGCACCAGCCACATCACCCAGGCTGGTGGGTGTGAACCTGGCCTGGACCAGCTAAAGCAACAATGACAACTGCAACAAAAAAATAGCCAGGCATTGTGGCAGGCATCTGTAGTACCAGCTACTTGGGAGGCTGAGGCAAGAGAATCTCTTAAACCCAAAAGTTTGAGGTTGCTGTGAGCTGTGATGCCATGGTACTCTACTGAGGGCAACATAGTAAAACTCTGTCTCCAAAAAAAAGAAAAGAAAAGAAATAAAAGCATGCTATTGTACTAAATTGGTAGAATTAAAGTCTGTCAAAAGAGATGCTTAAAATAGGTACAATGTGCCCAAGAAAGTTAAGTCTTTTTTTCTTATTGTTGCAGTTTTTGGCCCGGGCTGGGTTTGAACCCGCCACCTCTGGCATATGGGGCCAGCACCCTACTCCTTGAGCCACAGGCCTTGCCCAAAAGTTAAGTCTTTTTTTTTTTTTTTTTTTTTTCTGAGACAGAGCCTCAAGCTGTCCCCCTGGGTAGAGTGCCATGGTATTACAGCTCACAGCAACCTCCAACTCCTAGGCTCAAGTGAGTCTCCTGCCTCCGCCTCCCAAGTAGCTGGGACCGCAGGCGCCCGCCACAATGCCCGGCTATTTTTTGGTTGCAGCCGTCATTGTTGTTTGGCGGGTCTGGGCTGGGGATTCGAACCCGCCACCCTAGGTGTACGTGGCTGGCGCCCTAGCCGGCTGAGCTATGAGCGCTGAGCCCAAAAGTTAAGTCTTAAGGCAGCAACTTAATGGATATTCTCTCCATATTTTTTTCACATGTCTGAAAATTTCACATTTTAGAGAAGGTCCTAAGGCTTTTATCTATCATAGCTTTAATTTTAAAGCACAGCTCTCCTCATATGTTATGTGGGCATCTTATTCAGGGTCCTTCTGTCTTGCCACACAAACACTTAATGCTTTTGCTAACCCATCATGGACAGAGGAAATGCAGACCAAATATGTAGAAGCTATGTTTGGGTTTTATGGTGTATGAAGATTTGGAAACTAAAAATATAAAATTAATGGATTATATACAGAAACCTAGAAATCAATTTTCAGCTATAAAATAGTTTGGATTATAAGTTTTAGAAAAAAAACTTATGGCAGCACTTTTTAATATATTTTTCATATATTTTTTTAAAATAGTAAATTGTAGGAGGCCTGCTATGTTCTTTGAAGGATTAGGATAAAAAATAAAAGTCATGCTTGATATCATTTTGACATTTTAAAACAAAATTTTGAGGCTGGGAGAAGTAGCTCACTCCTGTAATCATAGCACTCTGGGAGACCAAGCTGCATGGATCACTTGAGCTTATGAGTTCAAGACCAGCCTGAGCAAGAGTGAGACCCAGTCTCTACTGAAAATGAAAAACTGAGGCAAGAGGATCACTTGAGCCCAAGAATTTGAGGTTGCTGTGAGCTATAACACCACGCACTCTACCAAGGGTGACAAAGGGAGACTCTGTCTCAAAAAATTTTGTTTTGAAATATTGTACTTGGTTACTGTACCTGTCCTGTTTCATTGTGAGATACAGAGAAGCAGGTGAATTAATTTGTTTCATTGGAGCAGTATATATATTTTTTAACTTGTAAGTAACAAAAGGATATTAACAGCTTTATCGGTTTGGGATGTGATAGATTAGCTAAAAAATACTTTTACTTATTTTTTCAAGAAAGGATTGTTTTTCTGGTTGCCAGGTGTCCCAGTTTATCAGGATTTCTCTAGGCAGATACAAATAATGACAGGGAAGGGAAGCTGCAGTGAGGGGATGAGATGCATTGATCCGTTGCTTGTGAAATTCCAAAATTGTTGGTATTTTCTCTCTCTATGTGGCCAGTTTAATCAAACAGAGACAGAATTGATCAATCTCAATTGAATCAGTAATTTCTTTTCTTTGTGAATTTCATTTTAGGGAAACAAAGCCGAATTCTATATTGTCTTCATTTTAGCTCACATACTCCCTCTGCTGAGGGTGGCAGTCACTGCGAGGGTTCTCAGGCAAAGCTGCAGTAATTTTCAAAAATCTGGTGAATAGGAATATAAAATAAGGCCAGGCCCCTCTTTGAATTCCACTCATGCCCCCACCTATTGTGACTGCACACGCTGGTAAAAGCTTCTCCTGTGGCACACTTATTTTGGTGCAATTTATTATGAGAAGCAACACCTCCACATCCTATTGTCACAGAAAGCTATATACGACATCTGGCTGTCATTTGCTACCTTTTACAAGTGGTATAGACAGGACTTGGAATCAGATGCCAAGCTCTTCAGACAGTGAGACCATGGTATCAATAGTTTGAAAACAGTTAGCAGGAACCACAGTGGACCACTCATTTTATATACCCATCAATTTACCAATATAATTAATATAATAATAGAACAGTCACCAGTGAATGGTTTTTGAGAAGGCTACTGATGGAAATGAAGAGAACTTTATTTCTGTTGTTTATTTGCTGAAATTTAGAAATGCATTTCCTACCAGAAACAAAATTAGAGTCTGAGAACTAGTTCTGCTTTGGACTAGGTAAATTTAGACACCTATCAGCTTTGTCCTGCATGTCCAGTAGTATGTTTTTGTTAAAGAAACATATCCGAGGCTAGGTGCCTGTGGCTCAGGCAGCTAAGGTGCCAGCCACATACACCTGAGCTGGTGGGTTCGAATCCAGCCCGGGCCACCAAACAACAATGACGGCTGCAACCAAAAAATAGCCGGGCATTGTGGCAGGCACCTGTAGTCCCAGCTACTTGAGAGGTAGAGACAAGAGAATCGCTTGAGCCCAGGAGTTGGAGGTTACTGTGAGCTGTGATGCCACAGCATTCTACCCAGGGTGACAGCTTGAGGCTCTGTCTCAAAAAAAAAAGAAAGAAACATATCCCCCAAACTAAGTACAGCATAAAAATACAGAACCAGCAGAGCTTATTTTCTAAATATTTTCTAATATGCCATAAGCAAATCATGCTGAAAAAAATATATGTAAATACCCTGTTCTTTGGTAAGTTTATCCTTTTTATCTTTTTCCTAAGCCTGAAATATATGCATTATTCTCTCTTTTACTAGTGAGGAAACTGAGTTTCTGAGTTTTGAATAACTCATCCATTAGCATACAACTGTCTATAAACAGGAAATAGAATTAGGCCTTTCTGGTGAAAACAAAAAGCTTTTTAAAGTTATACTATGCTGTATCATAATTTATGAGCCCATATACAAAGGGCAAGAACCCTAACATATGTTTCTTATTCACGATTAAAGCCATGCTATCAGGAGTGCACTATTGTAAACCTCTCCCTATTTTAGAAATTGCTGACGGCAAAAGTTTGAAAAATGAGATTGATTGCATGTAACGTCAACCCAAAAAAACAGTGACTTAACATGAGGTATAATTAACAATTTCATTGTATAAAAGCAATCTGACAGACATTCATGGGCTGGCATGAGGGTTGTATGGTCATCAGGGACCCAAACCCCTTCTGTCTTTCTTCTTTACTATCCTAATTCAAGGTTTCCATCCTCAGGGTTGTTTTGGGCCCGAGAGGAATTCCAGCTGTTGCAGACGGTGGGAAGGACAAAGGGAGGCACCTTACAATGGAGTCAGGTCCCTTTAAGTCTTATAACTCCCTTACAACTAAGTTGCTGCTATTGCAAGAGTGCCACACATCATTCCTTTCATCTTAGCCAGAACTTCCACGGCCATATCATACAGGCATATGAAGCTGAGAAATGCAGCCTTAAAGAGGATTGCATTGCTGCCCCAAATTAAATCGAGGTTCAAATACTGGTAAACAAGGAGGATGCATTCTGGGTAACAAGTCATTGTCTATGCCATAGCTAGAAAAGAATGTGACTTCTCACAATCTGTCTATACCTTTCTAAACCATATAGGCAAACGACGAAAATCCAATCCAAAACCCCTTGTTTTGACTGAAGCTAGAAAGCAGTTAATGATCTACAGACTACCTCAGGTCCTCCGGCTGCACCTTAAAAGATTCAGGTGAGCATGCTCTGGGAGTCCCAGATGGCTGTGAGCTATGGGAATAGTTGCTTCAAAGGCTTTGTTGAGAGAAATTGTCATCTTAGATGTGAGGATAAGGGACCTACTCCCTTAAGACTTTGTGCTTTCCATGGAAATAAAATGGTTCCTATCCACTAAGGTATGTTGATTTTGGGGCCAAGCCAGACTGGACTTCTGCTATCATGGCCCTGTTTAATTGCCTAGCCTAGGTGTCTGTGCTTAAAGATTTTCTACAGGAAGATTGCTTGAGGCCAGTCTGGGCAACACAGCAAGACTCCATCTCTAAAGAAGTTTTAAAAAACTTAGCTGAGTGGCTCGGTGCCTGTGGCTCAAGTGGCTAAGGTGCCAGCCACGTACACCCAAGGTGGTGGGTTCGAATCCAGCCTGGGCCCACCAAACAACAATGA